TTTTTAATGATCGGATTTTAAAACTTTTTCATTTATGCAATTTTCAATTTTTAGTTTTTCCATTTGTCTATATTTCATTTCTAAATTTTTCAATCTTTCAGTGTTATGGTTTTTAGATTTTACAATTCTGGCCATTCTAGATTTTTCGATTCTACAATTTTTCGGCTGCACATTTTTTGCGAGCCGGTTCGTTTTTTTTGATTTTTTAATCTTTCGTTTTTTAAATATTTCGATTTATACATTTTCGTTTCGGCTTTTTATTGTCTTTATTTTTTTAATTATGTGTTTGATTTTTCAACGTTTAGAGTTTATAATTTTTTCTTTTTTCAATTTTTCGTTTCTTCAGTTTTTCGATTTTCCGTACTTCAATTTTTAGATTTTTAGATTTTATAATTTTTTTTTACAATGTGAAATTTTTCAATTTTTCGATTTTTCATATTTGGACTTTTTAATTGTTCGTTTTTTGAATTTTAGATTTTTCAGTTTCTCTATTCTTCAATGTTTCACACTTCAGTTTTTGATTTACAGTTTTTCTAGTTTTCATTTTAAACATGTAATAATAATAATTGTAATTGTTAAAAGTTTTCACTCTTTTAATTAGGGTTTTAGAATTTTTCCTTTTTTTATTTACTGGATTTTAAAACTTTTTTATTTATGCGATTTTTAATTTTTCCATTTGTCTATATTTAATTTCTCAATTTTTTATTACAGCTTTTGGACTTTACATTTTTTCGATTGGGTTCGTTTTTTCTTCTTTCCAATTTTTCGATTAGTTGTTTTTTTTTCGATTTTGCTATTTTTCGTTTTTTCGATTTTCGACTTTTCAGTTTTTCCGAATTTTTAGTTTTTCGATATTTCAACTTTACGGACCAAGAAAATGAAAAATTGAAAAATGAAAACTGGAAGAGTTAAACGAACAAAAAAATTGAACAACTGAAAAATTTTAAAACAAAAAATTGAAAAAATTGTAAAATTAAAGAAAATAAAAACTGCAACGAAAAATTGCAAATCAAAATTTGAAGAGATGAAAAATTAAAGAATCGAAAAATTGAAAAATTTGGAAATTGAAGAAACAAAAAAAATTAAATTTGAAAAATCACAAATTGAAAAATTGAAGGAGCGACAAATTTAAAATATTGAAATTGAATTGGAGGACTCAAATGGAAAAATTGCAAAATCTAAAAAGTTGAAAAATTCAAAACTCGAAAAATTGCAAATCTAAATCTGAGGGAACGAGAAAAAAAATGAAAAATCGACAAAATGGAAAATCGAAAAAGTAGAAAATCGAAAAAAATGAATTAATCGAAAAATTGGGAAGAAGAAAAAACAAATCGAATCGAAAAAATGGAAAGCCTAAAAACTCTAAAATCGAAAAATTATGGAATGGTCAAAAATGTAAAATCAAAAACTGTAGCACTGAAACATTAAACAATTGAGAAATTAAATATAGACAAATGGAAAAATTAAAAATTAAAAAAATAAAATCGCATAAATAAAAAAGTTTTAAAATCCAGTTAATAAAAAATGGAAAAATTCTAAAACCGTTATTGAAAAAGGGAAAAATTTTAACAATTACAGTTATTATTATTATTGCATGTTTAAAATGAAAACTAGAAAAATTGTAAATCAAAAACTGAAGTATGAAACATAGAAGAATAGAGAAACTGAAAAATCTAAAATTCAAAAAACCAAAAATCAAAAAGTCCAAAAATTGAAAAATTGAAAAGTTGAAAAATTTCGCATTTTAAAAAAATTATGAATTTTTAAAAAATATTGGATTTTAGTTTTTTTTACAGCTCCTCGGAAAATGTACCAGAATTTTTTGAGGATTTTAATAGGATTTTTTCAACAATTTTTTTGAATATTTTCTAAGATTTTGAGATAGTTAAGACAATTTCGTTATCAAATCTTTTTTTCGAAACTTCAAAACTGTCAATTTTTCAAATATTTTTTTTACCACCTTTCAAGATTTCGAAATATTTAAAAGACTAGATTTTCAAGTAGAATTTTTCGAAAATTTTGACCCTTTTTTAGAAATCAAGCTATTTAAAAAAAATCCAAGCTAAATTTTTCGATACCCCTTCTGAGTTTTTTTATCGTTTTTCGAACAACTTGTTGAAGTTATTTTCGGCTTCATTTTTTCGAAAATTACAATTTTTTCAGAATCGATAAAATGAAAAATGATAATTCTCTAGAAATAAAAAAAAAAACATGTTCAAGTCAAATTTTTTAAAATGTTGGTCTTTTATTTATTTATTTTTTTTTCAGCTAGTCGGAATATATTTACCAGGATTTTTTGAGGATTTTAATACGATGTTTTCAACAAATATTTTGAATGTTTTCCAAGATCTTGAGATATTTAGACAATTTCATTTTTAAATCGATTTTTTTGGCAACTTTTCAAAACTGTCAATTTTTCAAATAATTTTTTGACCGCCTTTCGAAATTTCGAAACATTTAAAAGATTACATTTTCAAGTCGAATTTTCCGAAAATCTTGACCGTTTTTCGAGAAAAATTCAAATTTAAACCTCGTCGAAAACTATTTCCTAGAATTTTTTGAGGATTTCTGACGACTTTCCAAAAACATCAATTTTTAAATTAATTTTTTGGTCGTTTCCATAAATTTCGAGATATTTAAGACAATTTCATTTTCAAATTAAATTTGTCAAAATTCTTAGACGGAGACCACTTCCTATTGACGTTCCGGACTAATTTTTCGAAAAATTCAGTTTGAAAGTGGAATTTTTGAAATATGTGTCTCCAAACCTCAAAAATTCACGAGTTGAAAATTTTAGATTTTTGAAAAGTTGCATCGAAAAATTGAAAAATTAAAAATTGGCAACTCGTAAAATTGCAAATCAAAAACTTACAAAATCTAAAAATCTAAAATTGAAATTTGCAAAATCGAAAAACTGAAGACACGAAAATTTGAAAAAAGAAAAATTTACAAAATGTAAACTTTGAAAAATCGAACATACAATTGAAAAAATAAAGAAAATAAAAAATCCGGAACGAAAAACTGTAAACCGAAAAATTGTAATTCGAAATATTAAAAAAAAACGAAAGATTCAAAAATCAAAAAAAAATAATCGAAGAAATGGAAAGCTCAAAAATTGCAAAATCGAAAAATTATAGAGTGGTCAAAATTGTAAAATCGAAAAACTGTAACACTTACAGATTGAAAAATTGAAAAATACAATATAGACAAATGGAAAAATTCTAAAACCGTAAAACTGAAAAAGTGAAAAATTTTAACGATTCCAATTATTATTATTATTATGTTTAAAAAGAAAACTAGAAAAATTGTAAATCAACAACTGAAGCAATGAAGAATAGAGAAACTGAAAAATCTAAAATTGAAACAGAGAAAAATAAAAAAGGTCCAAAAATTGAAAAATTTTAAATTATAAAAAAAAAATTACAAAATCACAAAACCGAAAAATTTAAAAAACAAAGAAAACAAAAAACCGAGACGGGAAATTGCAAATCGAAAAATTGGAGAAATCAAAAATTAAAAAATCAAAAAATTGCAGAAATGAAAAATTAAAACATCGAAAAATGGAAAAATTAAGACAATTCGTAAAATTGCAAATCAAAAACTTACAAAATGTAAAAATTGAAGTTTGAAAAATCGAAAGACTGAAGACACGAAAATTTGAAAAAATAAAAAATTATAAAATCTAAACGTTGAGAAATCGAACACATAATTGAAAAAATAAAGAAAATAAAAATTCGAAACGAAAAGCTGTAAATCGAAAAATTGCAAATCGAAGTATCTAAAAGCGAATGATTAAAAATTAGAAGAAATTAATTAATCAAAAAATTTAAATATAGGCAAAAGGAAAAATCAAAAATTGAAAAAATTGTCCTTGCAAAAAAGAAAAATCATAAAATCACATCACAAAACCGAAAAATTGAAAAAATAAAGAAAACAAAAATCCGGAAAGAAAAACTGCAATTCAAAAAATTGAAGAAATAAAAAATTAAAAAATCGAAGACTCGAAAAATTAAAAATTGCTGACTCGTGAAATAGCAAATCAAAAAATTACAAAATCTAAAAATTGAAATTTGGAAAATCGAAAAACTGAAGAAACCATGATTTGAAAAATTTGAAAATGAAGAAATCGAAAAATTGTAAAAATAAAGAAGTCAGAATCCGGAACAAAAAACTGCAAATCGAAAACCTGAAGAAACGAAAAATTCAAGAACCGAAAAATTTTGGAAACAAAAACAAAGAAAATGAAAAATCGCAAAACGAAAAATTCTGTCGAAACAACCTTCGACCAATTTTTTAACCCAAAACACGTTCATTACCTGCACCTAAATGTTACCAGAGCACCTTCAAAAAAGTCCAAACACCCGCAATAACTTCTCATCAAAACTATCCGAAAAATTTTATATTAATCACCGTACTTAAGGTTAAAAGCGTGCTATCATTTCGTAATCTCGCAATTCTGAAGATTCTCTCAATCACCGACCTTGGAGGATAATCCGTTGCACCTAATTCCTAAGTGGCACGAATGTGCTCACAATTATTCTCAAATTAACATCATTTTGTGCACTTGACCCCCGAACTTGCGGCTAAATCGATACACAAAAAACACTAGAAACATCAACACGTATTTTCGACAATCGTGGTACGTCATTTCGATCTATACAATATTATGCAGAAGTGAAAGCACAAAGGTGACAGGTCAGCGATCACACGGAACAAGGATCTTAGAGGAGAGTTCCACGATAGGTCATCGAAGTTGATTTTTTTCAAGGTTGCGAATTCACCAACAATGTGAAGATTTGAAGGTGAAGAACGGATGATTAATCTGTTGCTTCATTGAAGAATTAAGGGTAGTGTGCTGAATACTTGTAATTATTGAGTGGTGTCCTTGCTAATTAAACTGATTTGCATTTGAGGCTGCTTCGATGGGTATTTAAGATGTTATCGACAAATTCGTTCTTGGTTTATTTGTTTATTTTCAGAATAACAATAAATCAAGTTTGTCAGACACTTCCATCCGCACCTTCTTTCTTATCCCACCATTGCACCTGTGCAGACCCGAAAACCTGGTAGGTGGTAAATCCAACCAAATGCACACCAACAACAACGAAAAACGCACTTTGCCAATGGGCGAAATCTTGTCCGTCGTAGGTACACAAAGCGACGATTTTGGTTTGAAGGTAACTGGTTAAGTCACCCCCCATGGTTGCCATTCCAGATATAGTACCAGCGAAATTCGGAGACACATCTAGGATGCTTAAAAGATACAGCAGCATGACTGCGTTTCCGAAAGGTTCGCATATGGTGAAAGTAACACTCGAGAGTACATGGTTGTAACCCCAAAACGACTGCGCCAGAAATAGTAACATCTGTACAAGAACCAAAATTCCAGACATGAGTTTTCTGGTTGTTGTTGCAGAGCACACTTTACGCTTGATTAGTTTATCGGCGCTGTAAAATACGAAAAAAGAAGTCAGGTGTGACCCTATAATAAAAATGGATAGTACCGAGTTATTGACTCGACAATCGTGACTATTTACCTAGGAATAGTGCGTTTATCAAAATACCGGTGATTTTGGCATCCATGTGAAGCACTTGGTTGATATAAGTAGGCATCTGGCTTAGAATCAGACTTGTGGAAAAAGAAGCACAACAGAAGGGTAAAATGCAGGCCCATACAGCCCCAGACGAAAGAATGTCCTTCCATGGGGTTTTCCTCGTCTCGGAAAAAAAAACTTTTTCTTTTAGTGCTTCCCGAATTTGGGTCTTTTCTATTTTCCGAATTGTTGGGTGTTCTTCGGGTGAATTATACACAAAGCAAAACCATGCGGTTGTCCAAATCCCCGACACCACTCCAATAAAGTAAAAAATGCCATCCCATTCTAGAATACTTATCAAGTACCCATATAAACCCAAAACTAACAATAAAAAAACAGCCACAACCGACAACTGCACTATAAGTTTGTACCCTTCATCTGTAGGCACCCATTTCTTAATAAGCGTAGGAATTGTCGGTAAATAAAAAGAAGCACTTATTCCTAAAACCAGTCTCGCACTCAAAGTTCCATAAAACCCCAAATAACACAACGTAGGTGTCAAAATTATAACACTAGTAGCTAAAGACATCGCAATGCCTAAGGTCATTCTAGGTCCATAGATTTCCGACAAGCGTCCAGCTGGAACTTTGAACAACAAATGTCCCCAGAAGAAACTACCCAAGATGTCGTTTTTTTGGCTTTCGTCCCAGTTGAAATTGGAAGAATTGTGAAGGGTAACCATTCTAGTTATGGTTATGGGCATGCTAGTTACAAACATGTGTTGCAAAAGGAAACCAGACATAATTATGGCTGATAAAGCCTGAGTGCATGATAATTCTGGAACAAGAGATTTTAATGTCGCGAAAATGTAAAACTTACTAGGCGAAATCATTGTCGTGCTGGAATGATGGTACGTTTGGTTTAAGTCACAATAACGATGCTAATTTATGTATCTGCGTATCATTAACATAAGCTGCGGAAATTATTTTAAAGTTTCTTTACGTAAAAATGTACAGTTTACTTTTTATAATTATGTAAAGCCGAACGATAATAATGTTGTAAATATCTAACATATACTCAAAATATTTTAAATACGCTTCTAAACAGGGAATTTTTTTCTTCGTCGTTGTATATTGTTAGCATTGTTTATTTTTTGTGTCGTTATCTTTGAAAGGAAGTCCCCGCTTTTATTTTATTAGTAAAGTCTTTTTACATTTTTGAACACTTTACATTTCTTTTACATGTATTAACCACCACTAAGTTGAAGTCCTCGAACAGGCAACAATTCGAGATTATTTCGCAGGGGGATTCATAAATCAATGTTTTGAGTAAAATATCAATAAAGAATACCAAATTAATTAAAAAAAATAGATTCATCTTTAAATATTATAGAATCTGAATAAATCTGAAGGAATTTGAAGAAGAAAGAATGTGAAAAAATCTGAAAGAGTCTGAAATAGTCTGAAAGAATCTAAATGAATCTGAAAGAACTCAAACGAATTTGAAAGAATATAAAAGTGTCTGAAAGGATCTGTAAAGATCTGAAAGGGTACGGAAAGATCTGAAAGGAAATAATTTGAGGGAAATGAAGAAATCTGACAGAATCTGGGAGAATCTGATGTAATCTTAAGGAAACTGAAGGAATCTGAAGGAATTTGAAAGAATTGGAAGACTGAAAAATTCTGAGACATTCTAAGAAATTCTGGGAGAATACGATTTGAGACAATATGAAAGAATCTAAAGGCGCCTGAAAGAATCTGAAAAAAATCTAAAACCTCTGAAGGTATTTGAAGAAATCTGAAGAAATCTAAAAAAATCTGAAAAAGTCTGAAAGGATCTGAAAGAGTCTGGAAAAATTTGAAAGAACTTAAACGAATCGAAAGAATCTGAAAGAGTCTCAAAGGATATGAAAAGATCTGAAAGGTTCTGAGAGGATCTGAAAGGTTCTGAGAGGATCTGAAAGGATGTGAAAGAATCTAAAAGAGTCTGAAGAAATCTGAGAGAAATGAAATAATGTGACGGAATCTAAAGGAATCTGAAGAAATTTGGAGAAATCTGAAGAAACCTGCAGAAATCGGAAAGAATCTGTAGGAATCTGAAAGAATTGAAAGACTGAAATAATCTGAGAGACCCTGAGATAACCTAGAGAATCTGATAGAATTCGAGACAGTATGAAAGAATCTAAAGGAATCTGAAAGAATCTGAAAAAATCTGAAAAAATGTGAAAGATTCTAAGGGCATCTCAAGGAAAAAGGATCTGAAAGAATGTGAAAAAATCTGAAAGAGTCTGAAATGTTCTGAAAGGATCTGAACGGATTTGAAAGGATATAAAAGGATCTGAAAAGATCTGAAATAATTTGAAAGAATCTGTGAGAATCTGAAGGAAACTGAAGGAATTTCAAGGAATCTGAAAGAGTGTGGAAGAATCTGAAGAAATCTGAAGGGATCTAATAGAATATGAAGGACTCTGAAGGAATCTAAAGGAATCTGACGGAATCTGAAGGAATCTGAAGGAATCTGAAGGAATCTGAAGGAATCTGAAGGAATCTGAAGGAATTTGAAGAAATCTGAAGAAATCTGCAGAAATCGGAAAGAATCTGTAGGAATCTGAAAGAATTGGAAGCCTAAAATAATCTGAGAGATTTTGAGAAAACCTGGAGAATCTGATAGAATTCGAGGCAATATGAAAGAATCTAAAGGAATCTGAAAGAATCTGAAAAAATCTGAAAAAATGTGAAAGATTCTAAGGGCATCTGAAGGAAAAAGGATCTGAAAGAATGTCAAAAAATCTGTGAGAATCTGAAGAAAACTGAAGGAATTTCAAGGAATCTGAAAGAGTCTGGAAGAATCTGAAGAAATCTGAAGGAATCTAAAAGAATGTGAAGGACTCTGAAGGAATCTAGGAATCTGAAGGAATCTGAAGGAATCTGAAGGAATCAGAAGGAATCTGAATAAATCTGAAGAAATCTGAAGAAATCTGAAATAGAAAGAATCTGAATGAATATGAAAAAATCCGAAAGAGTCTGAAAGAGTCTGAAAAAATCTGAAAGAATCTGAAAGAATCTGAAAGAGTCTGCAAAAATCTGAAGGAACCCATACGAATTTGAAAGTGTCTGATAGGATCTGAAAAGATCTGAAAGAATACGAAAAGATCTGAAAGGAAATAATTTGAGAGAAATGAAAAAATCTAACAGAATCTGGAAGAATCTGATGGAATCTGAAGGAAACTGAAGGAATCTGAAGAACCCAAAAATAATTTGAGGCAAATGAAGAAATCTGACAGAATCTGTGAGAATCTGTAGGAATCTGATGGAATCTGAACGATACTGAAGGAATCTACAGGAATCTGAAGGAAACTGAAGGAATCTGAAGGAATTTGAAAGAATTGGAAGACTGTAAAAATCTGAGAGATTTTAAGAAATTCTGGCTGAATGTGATTTGAGACAATATGGAAGAATCTGAATTCATCTGAAGCAATTTGAAAAAATCTGAAGGAGAAAGTATCTGAATGTGAAAGAACCTGAAAAAGTCTGAAAGGATCTGAAAGAATCTGGAAAAATTAGAAAGAACATAAACAAATCGAAAAAATCTGAAAGAGTCTGAAAGGATCTGAAAGGATCTGAAAAGATCTGAGAGGATCTGAAAGGATTTGAAAGAATCTGAAAGAGTCTGAAATAATCTGAGAGAATTGAAAAAATGTGACGGAATCTTAAGGAATCTGAAGAAATTTGGAGAAATCTGAAGAAATCTGCAGGATTCGGAAAGAATCTGTAGGAATCTGAAAGAATTGGAAGACTGAAATAATCTGAGATATGCTGAGAAAACCTGGAGAATCTGATAGAATTTGAGGCAGTATGAAAGAATCTAAAGGAATCTGAAAGAATCTGAAAGAATCTGAAAAAATCTGAAAGATTTTAAGGGCATCTGAAGGAAAAAGGATCCAAAAGAATGTGAAAAAATCTGAAAGAGTCTGAAAGAATCTGAAATAATCTGGAAAAATCTGAAAGAACCTAAACGAATTGAAGAATTCTGAAAGAGTCTGAAAGGATCTGAAAGGATTTGAAAGGATGTAAAAGGAGTTGAAAAGATCTGAAATAATTTGAGAGAATCTGTGAGAATCTGAAGGAAACTGAACGAATCTCAAGGAATCTGAAAGAGTCTGTAAGAATCTGAAGAAATCTGAAGGAATCTAAAAGAATGTGAAGGATTCTGAAGGAATCTAAAGGAATTTGAAGGAATTTGAAGAAATCTGCAAAAATCTGAAGGAACCCAAACGAATTTGAAAGAATCTGAAAGTGTCTGAAAGGGTACGGAAAGATCTGAAAGGAAATAATTTGAGGGAAATGAAAAAATCTAACAGAATCTGTGAGAATCTGATGGAATCTGAAGGAAACTGAAGGAATCTGAAGGAATCTTAAGGAATCTGAAGGAAACTGAAGGAATTTAAAGAAATCTGCAAAAATCTGAAGGAACCCAAACGAATTTGAAAGAATCTGAAAGCGTCTGAAAGGATCTGAAAAGATCTGAAACGAATAATTTGAGGGAAATGAAAAAATCTAACAGAATCTGTGAGAATTTGATGGAATCAGAAGGAATCTGAAGGAATCTGAAGGAAACTGAAGGAATTTGAAAGAATTGGAAGACTGAAAAAATCTGAGAGTTTCTAAGAAATTCTGGAGGAATATGATTTGAGACAATATGAAAGAATCTAAAGGAGCCTGAAAAAATCTGAAAAAAATCTAAAACCTCTGGAGGCATCTGAAGGAATCTGAAGGAATTGGAAGACTGAAATAATCTGAAAGACTCTGAGAAAACCTGGAGAATCTGATAGAATTCGAGACAGTATGAAAGAATCTAAAGGAATCTGAAAGAATCTGAAAAAATCTGAAAAAATGTGAAAGATTCTAAGGGCATCTAAAGGAAAAGGGATCTGAAAGAATGTGAAAAAATCTGAAAGAGTCTGAAAGGATCTGAAAGGATTTGAAAGGATATAAAAGGATCTGAAAAGATCTAAAATAATTTGAGGGAATCTGTGTGAATCTGAAGGAAACTGAAGGAATTTCAAGGAATTTGAAAGAGTCTGGAATTATTTAAGGAAATCTGAAGGAATCTAAAAGAATGTGAAGGATTCTGAAGGAATCTAAAGGAATCTAAAGGAATCTGAAGGAATTTAAAGAAATCTGCAAAAATCTGAAGGAACCCAAACGAATTTGAAAGAATCTGAAATCGTCTGAAAGGATCTGAAAAGATCTGAAAGGAAATAATTTGAGGGAAAGGAAAATATCTAACAGAATCTGTGAGAATTTGATGGAATATGAAGGAAACTGAAGGAATCTAAAGGAATCTGAAGGAATCTTAAGGAATCTGATCGAATCTGAAGGAATTTGAAAGAACTGGAAGAGTGAAAAAATCTGAGAGATTCTAAGAAATTCTGGAGGAATATGATTTGAAATAATATGGAAGAATCTAAAGGAGCCTGAAAAAATCTGCAAAAATCTAAAACCTCTGGAGGCATCTGAAGGAATCTGAAGAAATCTGAAGGAGAAAGTATCTCAAAGAATGTGAAAGAACTTGAAAAAGACTGAAAGGATCTGAAAGAGTCTAGAAAAATTTGAAAGAACCTAAACGAATGGAAAGAATCTGAAAGAATCTGAAAGAGTCTGAAAGGATCTGAAAAAATCTGAGAGGATTTGAAAGAATCTGAAAAAGTCTGAAATAATTTGAGAGAAATGAAAAAATGTGACGGAATCGAAAGGAATCTGAAGAAATTTGGAAAAATTTGAAGAAATTTGCAGGAATCGGAAAGAATCTGTAGGAATCTGAGAGAATTGGAAGACTGAAATAATCTGGGAGATTCAGAGAAAACCTGCAGTATCTGATAGAATTTGAGGC